TGCTCAGTTGAGCTTTCAAGAGAACAGGAAGGCTTTGTGGTAAATGACCTGGCCTTGAAGGCCTGAAAAAACACAAAATTGAAGTGGGTTTAGGGTTTAGAATAAAAAAAGATTGACCTTACCATAAACCCAGCCAAAGAAAAGCTATACGTTATTGAGCTCCCCAGATATTTGATATTGTTGAGGATCAGGGGCTCGGCTGGACTACCCCCTTTGGAACTTGGTTGCCTAGTCTGACCGAATACGCTGTTTGATAAGAAATCGATTGCTTTGGTGGCATAATTCCAGATTCGAGAGGTAATTGAGCCTGACCTTCTCTTGAAAGCCCACGCCTTGTATATCTACTGTTTTTTGAGTCTCACAGTTTACGGGGCCCAAAAATCTTTACATCATTGAGCCCGCCCCAAATCTGTCATGTTATTGAGGATCACGTCTCTGCTGGACTACCCACTTTGGACTTGGATTGCTTAGCTGCTTAGCCTGTTCGAATAGGCGGTTTAATACGACATGAACTGTTTTTTTGGTTGCATTATTCCAGATTCGAGGGGCAATAGAGCCTGAACTTCTCTTTAAAGCCCAGGCCTTTTTTGTTTAATGGTTTTGGGGTCTCATAGTTTACCTGGCCCAAAAATCTTTACATGATTGAGCCCCGCTAAATCTGTCAGGTTATTGAGGATCACGGGCTCTGCTGGACTGACTACCCCCTTTTGGAGTTTGATTGCAACACGAAATCAGCTGTTTTTGGTGGCATAATTCCAGATTCGAGAGGAATAGAGCCTGTCCTTTTCATGTAACGGCCTGGCTGCAAAACCAAATGCATTTTGGCCTTATCAAAACCTTCCCCGGAATCTCTCCGGCAGAAAAACATTAAAAAACAATTGTACTGTGTTGGGACCCCCCCAAATCGAATAGGGGGTCCAGAAGAAGTGTCAGAAAGCTTTAGTTTATGGGGGACCCGTGTAAAAAGGTTTCATCAGGAGAGATGAAATGTCAATGGACTGTACACGAACTGCTTCAGGATCCAAGCAAGCTCGACTATACTTTCTGTGTTTGTTTGGCTTTGGTTGAGGTTTTAGGGTTGAGCGACGTGATCAGAATCATTGCACAACTGTGCGTCCCTTCGCAAAGCCTGAAATCCCTGAACACATCTTAGCCGGAAGTCCCATGATTGGCCAAAAATGCGACCATCTAATGGTTTAGATGATTATTTCAGGGAGTGGGAACACATTTGGGAGATTAAGTAATTACTGCAAAAAACAGCAGCCTCAGGTCTCAGTCGGGGTTCACCCCTCCTTTACAGACCCTGAATCCAAACTGGATGAGCTGCCAGGATGGGCGCCACCATGCGTCCGTTCCGCTTGAGCGCAGTGAAAGATGCCTTCAAGAAATTGGAGGAGCGTCTTCCAAGCATGGGGTTCTTCGGTGTAGTATAGTCCTCCGTAAAGTATAATATCAGAATAAGATCCCCACATACCCCATATTCTATCTACTTTTGGAGCACCATAAATATTGCGTTGACGCTTGAGAAGCGGTTGCTGATGTGAAAACGGGATTGCTGCCAAAGGGTTCTGGGCCTGTGGCTTACCTGTCGCGCGTAGAGCTCAATAACGTTGCCTTTGCAGCTGCGCCGCGCTGATGCTAGCCCACTTTCAATCTTTCTTGAAGCTGCAGCTATGACGTCATCCTCTTCCTTGCGTCTGGGTTGGAGAAATGATTCAACACCGCTAGCAGCAGGGGTTATGGGGCACAGACATTTGCATAGTGCTGTTTGTGTCCAGCTGAGAGGCAGCCAGCACGCAATCTGACAGGAGTTTCTAGAGTGATCTCTACATACACCCATTATCCTCTCATAATCCCTACATGTCCCACGGGCTTCAGAAACCCGATTTCATGGCCAGGCCAGCGCGATCGCCAAAATGGTAGACATCACGCATCTGCAGCGGCAGCCTCAACCAACATGCCCCATGATTTGTCATGTGCGTTATTGGGGCGGCCGGTCAGGGAAGCAAAGTAAAGATGCTTGAGTGTCCATGACAGGCTCTAAGCAATATGCTGTTTCCAGTCTCAGTGAGTACTTTGAGGAAGGCTCTGCGCATACGACCGGCAATGCAGGGGCAAAAAGGTTGAATGATCGTGACAGTTGTGCATGCCTGCTTCAGGACAGCTTATTATGGGAAATGGAAAAGTCGCTACCCTGATTGCAGCATATAGCCCCCTGGCCCGGCCAAAGAGCATTGTTAGGGTTTTGGGCTAGGGATTTTTTATCTGCCAGGGTCCTCTTGCAGCACGACGTGCAGATTCCAACTGGTTGATGGCTGGTTGAAGCTGATTGAAGACCACGTGCAGTTGATCATCAGCATACCTACACCAAGTAAGGAAATGCAACTGCCACATTACGCTCACATCTCCAAGCCACTCGTAAGCTGGAATCCCTTCCCTGCATTCCCGTAATTGTAACTCTCTTTGCAAGATTGAGTGTAGTAATCGAGTAAGTGCGAAGCGTACTCTAGAGCTTAGTTGAGCCTGCTGTACTGCCACAATATGCTCCAAAAGCCTATACCCAAAATCGTTTGGCTGACCATAGCCCCATAAGGCCAGTCAGGAGTTATACTGGGTTGCTGTTTAAGGAACATAATTTAGGTTACGATATCGGGGAAACCATATTAAGCACTATATATGCCCATTACGGTAACTTAATTTAAGTTCCTTGACAGCAACAAAGTACATAATATAATCCAAAACTGGGTCATAGCGTCCCAGGACCGAAGATCCGCTGGATCTAAGGTAGGATCTAGGGTCAAGGCCCTGAAAGCTCACGGGCGCGGGCTTCCACAAATGCACCGCAGTCTACTAGCAGGTGCTTTAGGCGGGAGTGAGGTAGTGATCCGGTAGTGTAGAAGCCTGGTTTAGGGTTTAAGGTTTAGCCTGAACAAATTCCGACATCATCGTCCTAGGTTCTTTCTACGACTATGGTATAGGGTGCCTCGAGCAGACTTCAAAATAATGTTGGTAGTCTTTTAGGTGCCTACATTACTACTGTAAGGGGATGGAAAGGAGTTATCACGGGATCTACTCCCCCTTACGCACCCGCCACTTACGACCATATGCAGCGGGACTTGAAGGGGGCTTGTAATTGGGATCTATGTGCAGTTACAAATAGCTATCAGCACGTTATAAGTCCCCATGAACCTTTACCCCATGAACCTTTACCTATAGACTGCCAGTTTCTATTTCATGTTCAGTGTTCTTGTCGATTTTGATTCTCCATGATATGAAAAATGTAAGCTTGTATGCCCTAAACATTGCACGTCACATCCCCAAATAGCATCGGACTTTGGAACCCTCAAAAAAATTGAAAAAATGTCTCAACATGTTTCAACATGTCTCAAAAGTGTATGCAAGTGCTGTTCTGTCATGCCGACGTCCCATCGTTCAAATCGTGGCAGTCCTTTCGTTTGCTGCCTCGTACGTAAATACGCACGTAGGTATGTCTGTATGTGTGTATGTGTGTATGTATGTATGTATGTATGTATGTATGTATGTATGTAGAAACGCAGCAGCCTCAAACTCCAGGAAGCTGTTCTGCGCCACGGCCCATCCAAAGGCTCCACAATTGCTGAAGTTTCAGGGTTTTGGTTTAGGGTGTGGGGTAGGTTCCACTACCCTAGCTTTCAGCATACGGGCCCTTCTTTACAGGTCAGGAGCTCAGGATTTAGGATGTGGACATATGCATATGTATATTTGGGCATGCACATGTTCTGGACATATATTCAAGTGTACCCAAACACCGCTCAGCCCAAGATTCTACTCTATGACTTGTTGGCCGTCTAGTTTCTCCATGCATGGTTCAACGCATGATCTGTTGTACCTGGGCATAAGTAAGGGTATCCGACTCCAGGTACAGCTTGGAAACTGTCATGGTGAAAGGGTTGAGGGGCATTGAGGGGCTACAAAGTTTACAGTTTGCGTGTTCAGGCTTTAGGGTTCAGACGGGTTGCGGGGAGATGATTTAGCTTTCACTCGGTGTATGGTGGTATCACTAAATACTGGGACCCAAACACAGAACCCAAACATAGATCCCAACCTACATCACAAGTTTGGGAAACCCCATATAACGAAGTCATGGGCCTCATCTTCTCCAATGCGTCTTCCTCCACAGAATGGGGCTTTACGTAGAAAGGGGGCCCCAATATGGACCTCAATACGATTTAATCCTTATCACACGCACTCCCAAAACCGGCCGCCTAATTTATGGAAACCCTGGATCCCATGCATCCCGACAGACCACGCTATATACCCCTAAACCCCTTCAAAGGATGCGAGGATGGCACGGGCTTACCAAATGAGTTTCGTTTCAATGGGAGCGCAGGCTTTCGGGTGTCCTGTGGGATCTTATGCGGGTTTTTTTGAAAACATGTACACATATGAAAAATATGTGTATATATATATACATATAGACACACGTATAGACATGGATTTCCTAAGGAGATTTTACAGGTAGCTCTTCGAGGTACACTTAGCGCCAGGACATATGCCCAGACTGATACAGGCCTGTGTGGCAGTTTGCTGTTAGGGTCTAAAACACATTATCCAAACCCTAAACCCTAAATCCTAATCCCTTAAAGCGGCCTCAAGTCTTGAAGTTACCATGCCAGGTACAGGATGGCTCCCTGTCCATCGAGGAGGCAAGAGAGGCGCCTCTTGCTGTTGCAGACAAGTTTGGGGCTAATGCAGCACAATGCGTCGAAAATCCGACCGCTTCTTGTATGTACCTCAGCCGCTTCGGCTTCAGACAGCTCCACGTGAAGGTTCGCGGGCTCTGGTCAGCCATTCACTTGCTGATGAGCGAGGCAAGTGCAGAACCCACACATGCTGACGCAGATGCCCATACCGCAGAGAAGGTCTCACCGGCCTCTTTGGTGATCGAGTCATGTGCGCAGGGACCGACACAGGTTGGTCTAGATGCCCTTTCTGAAGGTAAGGTCTCAACGCCACCGTTGATGAGTGAGGTCAGCGCACCGGGCCTGACACTAGCTGATCCTGATGCCCATCCTTCAGTGAACGTCTCACCAAAAACGCACTTGATAGGTGAGGCAGGGGCACGGGGACCGATCCAGCATGATCCAGCTGCCGGTCTTGTTGTGAATGTGGCAACGGCTTCCGAGCCAGCTGAGTCGACTGATGAAGTAGTGCATGGTGCGCACTATCTGGTGGACTTCTTCAGATGCTCAGGTACTCATGCACCCAGCCTTCCCCTCTCGGCTTACTTGTGCTGCGGTGCCATTGGGCAGGGCATCAATAAGATAAAGATTCATCGTTCGTCGCAAGGTTTGACACAGTTCCTTCAGAATGCCTGTGTTCCAGGTCTCCCAGGCCAGTCAATCATGATCTCGCTTGTAGAATGTGCGGACCAAGAGGAAGCTACCGCAATGCGGTGTCTAGACTGGATTCACCAGCATCGATTCAAGATTCTCTCTGTCTCTGCTATGGCAATATCTGGGTGGCTTGGGAAGATGGCGTGGGGCTTGCAAGCTGAACTTCACAAGCGAATCCGGGAATTTCAGAAAAAGTGGGCCACGCCACTAGACCATCTGTATGGATGGGTCCTGTCTCCGATCTTCTCCGCTGCCAGCCCGTGGTTGTCGTGCGCGGGCAGCTCTGTGGAGGCTGGCCTCAGCTTTGTGTCTGAAAAGGCTGGTTGGGCTGGACTGTCGTTACAAGGATGGCAGGCAGTTCTGCTCGCCGGCACGGTCGGTTGCGGTGTGGGTATTGTTTGCTGCATGTTTCGTCCTCAGTTTCTCCATTCAGGGCTGCATGCCGAAGTCCTTCACTTTCTGGAGTCCTCTCGGCAATGGAAGGAAGCGAAGAAGCAGTTGGAAGAAAGCTTGCTCAAACAGGAGCTACAGCTGAGCGACAGCGAGAAAAGATGTGACAGCCTGCGTCTCCAAATGCAGAGTTTGAAAAGAAACCTCAACGCGGCGCAGGAAGATGTGGCTTTCCACCAGGGTGAGGCTGACAAATGGTCCAGCCGTTATGAGGAAGCAGCGAGGGGGAGGGATCAGAAGTCCCGTGAATTGAGAGATGTCCAGCAGCAATTGGAAAAGCAAACGGCCAGAGCGGATGATGCCCTGACGGGGATGCAACGTGCCCAAACTCGCAGCCACGACCTGGAAAGCAAGTTGGGCAATGCGAAGTGTGAGCTCGAGCGCCTGAATAAGAGGTTGAAACGTGAAAGCAGCCTTTTGAAGGAGGGCCAAGACCGCGAGCAGAAGTCCAGGCAAGCTCGGGATGATGCGTTGACGGGACTGAAGCGGGCAGAAAGTACTATCTCTGACTTGAGGGCAAGGGTTGACCGTCTGGCACGTGAGCAGCAACTAAGCAAGCAAGACTACGAGTATTGGAGAGCAAGGTGTGAGGAACTTCAGAAGGAGTTGGGCAAGGTCACCGACCAATCCTCATGCTTTGAATCACAAGCGAAAGATGCTGTAGAGACATGTGAAGCGCTGCATAACAAGTTGGAGAAGGCTCAGAACCAGCGCGATCGCGCCAATTGTGAGTTGAAGAAGCTGGAAAGGACGCTTGGCCAGCAAACCAAGGAGTTTGAGGCTTCACAGACAAGTCTCCGACAGACCCAAGATGATGTTGAGAAGCTTCGTGTCATTTTGGGCAATGAAGAACAGAAGCTGGCCAACAGCGAACGTGACGTGAAGGCTTTGGAGGAAAGTGCTTTGGATATGGAGAAGTCCTGCCAGATGTTCAGGGTGCAGGTGGATGAACTCGAGAGAGAGCTCGAGGCACGTCACAATGATTACCAGAAGGAAAGGCAAGAGAATCGTCAATCCAAGGAGAGAGTCACTTGGTATACTTATGGGAATGCATTTGCTGTAGTAGCAGGTTCGGGGTTCTTGTAAGGTGCGATACCAAAGGAGTCAGGGCATGTTCTCACCCTCGTGCGGAAGCGCGGGCTTTCGTGGAGAATTTTTCTCTCGAAAACTTGCCCGCCTCACCTCCCTCAGAAGACATGGGAATATTGCTTATGAGGGGCGGGGGATTGATTATCACGAGGAGATGAATTCCTTTCCTACTTTTCTCGACCAATTTGTTTCAATTTTCTTGGCTTGAAATAGTGTGAAATTTGGGAGCCCGGTTTTAGATGAAGCCGAAACAAATCATTCCGTTTCTCCTTTACTCTCCTGAACGAAAGAGCTGCTCGCTGAGTTACACGTTTTCAAACAGGTTTTTTGGCGGTCTGAAGGGTTTATAAGGTATCGGAGCTTAGTTGCTCAAAGACATAAATCCTGAGGCACCAGTCGCTTTATTTCTCCACGCCTCCTCTCTTTCTGTCCACAACTGCCTACGGGAGGGCAAAAAGTAAGCATGTTTTTGTTTTCCAGAAGCTGGGAGTTTGGGTGTTGAGAAGCTGGTGACGGTTCAGGGCACAGAAAGAGAGAGAGAGAGAGAGAGATCTTCATCGATGTTTTGCAAGTAAGAAGATTGAGTATGTGCAAAGGTAAGGTTAAAAGGGATGGTGTGTGGAAGGTGCATGGGGGTCAGACCATACCTAGGTCGAGAAGGGAGGAAGCTCAAAGGGAGGCCGCAAGCCCATTGGGCGCGCACATATGTGGTAAGTTGAACCTATTCTGTGGTTTCTTCTGGAGGAATCCTTTCGAGCAGTACTCCAGCCCTTCTCTAGACGACCGACCCTGGGCATGGATCATTGCAGGCTCATCGCCGGACCTTAAGGTTCCGTATAGCCCAACGAAGAAATGGACAACAAGAAGGGGAGAGAGAGCGAGAGACAGAGACAGAGAGACGCAGAGATAGAAAGACCGAGAGACAGGGACACAGAGACATAGACGCAGACAGAGACAGAGATAGAGACAGACAGAGAGAGCCAGACCAGACAGACAGACAGGGACAGACACGGGACAGGGGGAGACAGAGAGCAAGAGAGAAACGTGTACCAAGTACGAACGAAAAGAGAGAGAAAGAGAGAGAGAGAGAGAGAGAGAGCAATAGGGACAGAGAGGGACAGCACAGCAGATGACTGATGTAGAAAGTGAGCCCATACAGAATAATTCCGATCACAAGATGTAAGGATGCGAGGTAGTGGACAAATGACAGCTGCGGACAAATGACAGCTGCCCAAAGCAAATGTACTTTAGGATGAAGATTAGAAGCCTTGAACGATAGGTAAAACTGGGAAGTTTTGAGTAGGATACAACATAGACAGGAAAGTACCAGGCTCTCGGGTACCAAACGGATTGACGTTTAGTGAACAAACTTCTCTTTACAGGTCCCACAATGGGAGTTGAGGTTTGCTAGGCCATGATTTTCTCCTCGCCACTTGTAACACAGGATTTTTTTATTACGGGTGTGAAGAAGCGACCGTTGAATTCCTGGCTTTACGGGTGCTTTTGTGCTGTTCCCCCGCACCACGTTTTATCAGTCTCAATTCTCCGCGTAGTAAGTACAAGCATAGTGCCTATTAAATGAACTAAAAACCAAAAACCAACAGTATCTAGAAGGCCTCAAGAACGTTAGCTTGTTGAACAGATTAGTCAGCCCAGCAGGTCCAAGCTTGAATCCGACGATCTTATAAGTCCAAGTTGCAAGTCGAAACCCCAACCTACTTAGTGAAATGAACTATGCGGCTTACCTGGATGAGGAGGCCCTAGGCCGAATCTGAGTGTTAGAAGTGGCCTACTTGAGTAAAGCACGCTCGCCACAGCCGCACTCTCTTCTTGCACTTGACTTTGAATCTAACACATGAAAGGAGGAGAGCCCTTGAATCAACCAGGTACAGCAGGCTCATTTGATTTGAGGGCCAAGATTGTAGCCCAAATATGGGCTTGATTGACCCAATTCATCTAACTAATCATGTGGGTCGCAGAAACCCCTGGTTCGATGAATTAGAGAATTCAGTATATTAAAGCAAACAGCTTGAGGTAACTTATCCTGTCGTTGGACTATCTTGATGAAAGTTTATGGAGATTGAGGCCTTGATCTGATTGACGAGCAGCTCCAAAAAGGATTCATGAATCCCACAGTTTTGATTATTTGTCATCATCATGTTCATTGGACCAACCAAACCACTGGTCCTAGTGGATTCAAAGGCTGGACCAAAGAGACGAACTAAGCTATGAAGTCCAGGCCAAAGCGTAATTCACCTAATTGATGCTACGAACCTTCGTCATTCAACCATATGCGCAACAAGACTACTCAAAAGGTTCGCTAGAACCATTTATCACGCTGTTAAGTAAAACAGGTTGCCGATTGTCAGTAAAATGCTTCTGGGGTGACGACGAATAGTTTGTTTCAGGGCCTAATCAAAAATTCTACCCTTCCGCCGACATTTCGGCATTCCCCGCTCCCCTTGAAACTCATCTCCTAGACCCATTTCGGCCCCCCCCCTGACATTTCGGCCTCTCCCATTTAAACTCCTCTTCTACACCCTCCGCCAGCCCCTTTCCCCTTTGCAGACCCTCCCGACCGCCCTTCCCCCTCCCTCTCCCCTTTGAATTCCTCTTCTTGATACTCCTGCCTACATTTCGCTCGCCCCCCCCTTTCCCCTTTACAGTAAGCTACTCTTCTGGCATTTCGCCCCCCTTTAGACCCTCCCGCCAACATTTCGGTCCCCCCCTCTCCTCTTGAAATTTCTGTTCTAGACCCTCCCGCCGTCATTTCCCCCTCCCTTCTCCCCTTTTAAAATCCTGTTCTAGACCTTCCCGCCAACATTCCCCCCCGGCAATAACCTATTTGGCCTAGTAGTTAATCCCGTAGTTAATGTAGTGATGAGAATTAGGTTGCTGAAAGCAATAGAGAGAGATAGAGAGAGTAATGGAAGTGCTGCTTTGACAGAGGGAGTTGCATGCGCTCGGCTTTCGTTAGTTTTGCCTTTTGTTGTGCATGTAGAGCATTCCATTCCATCAGAAAAGCCACGAGATCAGCAAAATGTGGGGTTCATCGTACGGAGGAGGGTTGGCATATATAATGTACATGCAGTTCGATACATACTTAGGACCCTAGGATTCAGAGCCCATCTTAAGGCCGCATAGTTTTCAGCTTAGGGAGACCTAGGTCAAGTCGATGGAGAAGGAGGCGGCGCGGTTGAAAAATGATGTCGCGCAAAGCACCGAGGCGCGCGATCTTCTAGCCGAGCAGTTGCTGGGCGTTCGTTAGATGTGAGGTTGTCAGTACTTGTGTTCTTTCCCCAGTTCTTTGCAGCACCGTGATCCTGACGCCATGAATTCCCAGAACCTGCTCAGAATCTGGTATATTCAGTAGTCAGATGTTTACTTGTCAGCTTCACACAAGACTGTGAGGTTATATTGGGCCAGTAATGTTTCCTGAAGGACCCCAAGAGAAAAAGAGCCTTAGGCTGGCGGATGAACGTGCGGAAACAATTGCCCTGAATCGGAAGTGCCACGACTTGCAGAGACGCGCAGCTCCAAGTAAGCAGTCTTTCGCTCGCAGCATGCCCGTTTTATGCGCACTGGGTGCACTGGCTGCATGTACAGCAGTCGCAGCAGGTGCTCTCAAATTCGCCCGAGAAAGCAACACCAGGTAAGCCACCGAAGTGAGGCATCATACATGTTGCCCCGCTTGTGGCAGGCCAGCCAGGTGCTGTAGACAACAGTTTTCAGGCATGGTTGTGAAGTCGGGAAGTGTTCAACTTGCAGGTTCTTGACTCAACAACCTAGCTGCCGCGGGAAGTTGCAGAGAGCACAAGCAGCCTGAGAGACAAGCAATTTGATCTGGTTGGCGCCACCAGAGCGTTTTGTGCCGCATCCGCAGCACTTCAGCCAGCATTAGTTCCAAAGGGTCGGCACGCGCCTGCAAGTTTCAGGACCGCAGGCAACCACGCACAGAAATTCACGAGTAAAGTTGGGCAAGCCTGCACAATTAACAACATTATTCCTTAATAGCCCTTGGGCCACAATAGTTTTTTCTGGTCATTGAGAAGCCCCTGCATGATGCCTTGCACCCCCACATTTTCTAGGCGCTTTTGACGACATGTAGTCATTATTCAGAAGCTGTCACCGTGTGCTCGGACTAATTCCTATGTTGGACCCAACCCTGAGGGTCAAGGTGCTTCAAATCTGTCGCGCCAGAGAGGCCTTAGCTCCATCCCATTTCAGTACCTACAGGCCCCAAGGCAACATGCCCTCACACGGGCCAGGCGCAGCACGCAGATTCAAGGGTCATTTCCGTAATGGTTAACCCTGCCGGGAGAATGCTGTCGTAGTGTCTATCTCGGCTTGACCGCAGAGTGGGAGGGACCGGAAGGTTGACGAGTGAGCATGCAAGATGGTACCATTCCCCCAGCAGATGCTTGTGCCGTTCTCTGCCAAAGCCAGGAGTTCTTCCGGCAGTGGGAGCTCGACTCTTGGCCGCATCCAGATTGGCACATTCTTGTTCTGTACTAGTGGGAGGCGAGGATTGGCATACTATTGGCATGTTAAGATTGGTAGCTGTGTGGGAAGTAAAGGGTTGAGAATGTAGAGCTGTGCTGGGAGACGGGTGCAGGGTGAAATATAAGGGGTCTTTAGAACTACCCATCTGTACTATAGTCTGGGCTCCTTGAAGGGGGAATGTATAGCAGAATATATAGGGAGTTTTATGGGGAGTATTTTAGGGGTGATTAAGGGGGATACTAGGAGTTTAGACTATAGCTATCTATAGCTTATATGATGGTTGTACACGTATGGTACTCTCTACCTCGAACAGCCTTCATCTAACCCTTATATAAACTCAGATTCCATGTTATTCACTTTTTCTTTCGGGGTATTATCCCCACACCCTACATATTCTATGCATTACTCTGTATGATGTTGTTTATTCATTCATG